TGTGTTTATTATAGAGTACAACAGGTGGGATAAGGAACCTGCGATGGAATAAATTTCAAAATGCACAAATTCCTTTGGGCACACAGTCCTAAGGGGGAGTGTATTTCCTACTCCAGCACACTGCTCCCAGTATTTGTCCACTCTGCATGAATGGATTGAAAATTGAAATACAGATGCACTGTATTTTGTCACAGCTAAGAATTCCAGGATTTTAAGGCTGCCACCCTCGGAATGAAGAAGTTGCACCTGCCACAAAAGAGCATCAATAAATAATTGGATGAACTTTCTACCCAAAATACATTGTCAATTCAGAAACCTGGATATAAGATGGCAGTGACTGTATGGGTAGAAAAGGGTAGAAAATGGTCATACAGTCACAGCTGAGAGCTGCTGAAATTGTGATTGTCAAGGAATCTCCCTTTTGGAATCTGGCTTTCCATTCACAGAGAAAACAAGACAAACCCAGATTAAACAGGAAGAAAAGGAACAGCAGTGACTGCAAATGCAGCTTTTGGGTTTGATCCTCATTGTTACTTGCAACCTGACTTCTAGAGAAAAACAGGCTCAGTAGAGTCTTATCAGCCACTGTGGGACTTGGCAAACATACCAATAGCTGTGTGATTCTAAACATTGATTTTAGCTGCCTTTTTGGACACAGGCTCACTGCAGTGCTGCTGAAAGGTCAGCTGAGACAAGACTCTTCAAGCTGAATGCTAACACAAAAAAGTGAAAAGATATACAACTAGGGAAGAAAAAGCTAAGAAATTAATGTGCGGATATCAGGGTTTAAGTCTTTTGGACCAGATGGTTTTAAAAACTGGTCTGTGGCTGGAGGAGGTGGCATTTGGATTGAGATTCCTTCTTTCATCAGAGCATCTTTTACAGAGAGGTAGTGAGTCCAAGTCATACAATGGGTCTGAAGTCTCTACAAGACTGCAAGACAACACTGCTTTTGGTACAGACAAACCATGCTGCATCAGCAAGCAGCAAGACCTGACAGGTGTGGACTTGCAGAGAAAAACAGCTGGTGCTGAGGCCAGGTATTTACAGTTAAAGGATTTCAAACAGGCTATTTTGAATTATGTCTGGCCCATCTCTGGCCTACCACACAGACTTAATGACCATTAGCATTTAAAGTTCATTCTCCTGATTACTTTAGCCTGAATGGAATCCTGGAAGTCCCAAGAGCACTGTGCAATGAAAACCAGGCACAGTAGCCGGGATAAAAGGAGATTCAATTAGAAAGTACAGACTCAATCTCTATAGGGAATTTTCTGGTGACAGGAGTCCATGGGGATAACCTTGGATAGCTGCAGGTCCAGAGAGACAGAGCTCTTCTGACACCATCTTGGCCAACCTGACTACAGGGTGAAAGAAAAAGGTCCATATTTTTGTTCATATTGCCTTTCCATCTCATTCTTAGTTTTTATTTTAAGAGCAAAGGTAGGTATTTATTATCCTGGATAAAATTGAGTACAGCCCTTAGTGTATTATATGTTCTCACTGCAAACTAAATCCACTCATAAATAAGAGTTATAAAACATATATTTCTTTTAGGAATAGAAGTGCATGGAATTATTGTTTAAGGTCTTTAACCAAGATTGAAAGCACATTGCAAGGTTTAAATATGATCCAAATAGTTGAAATAAAAAATACAATATTTTTTCCAGAAAGCTGAGACTATATAACATAAAATTAATTTCAACAGACATTAAATACCTTGGAGGACTAAAGCCACATAGGAATACAGATTACAGTAGTTCAAGACATTTTCTCTTTCAATTTTGGAGTTTGGTATGACATCTGAAAGCCATTTTTATGTCAGTTCTTTCACACTAATCCAACTTTACTTGCAGTGAAGTACTGCAAATTTTACCATTTGTTTTACTTGTGAAAGCTAACAATGTCCTGTCTTCACAGTATGTTCAGTCAAAGAAAACTTTCTGGTGATGTAGTATTTGAGTAGCTTCAAAGGCTTTTACATCACTAAATGTATAAGAAGTTCAAGGATTTCTGGTATCTGACATAAGGCTTGTTTTCACAAAACTACAGTGTTTCTGAGCCCTCCACAGCATAAAAAGAATTTTAACACCTTTAATGAAACGGACACATCAATTCTTTTTTCTTTTTTTTTGTAACTCCCCATGTGGATTCAATCAGTTTGTAACTTGTATAGCAAGTTAGTTGATATAAATTAGATTTAAATCAATGAAAGAACACCTTTTTAACGTTTTGCATGAATTCAGTATAATCAGTTTAAAATAAAATCATACTGTGCTGCTTTGTGTGGATATAAAATCTGAGTAACTTTTCTGGACAAAGTCTTCACTAACCAGCCACAAATTCCATCATTCAGAACTGGACAAGCTTTCTATTTGTAGTACTGCAGCTCACCTTGTAAATAATTGTAGTGTAGAGTGCACCAGCAACCCTTTTGAGGACTCGTATTTATTTTTGTTCTCCTCAGTCCGTGGTTATTAAATGCATTTAACTATTTCTCACCATATGCACAAGATGGAACTGGGGTCTAGCAACCGAATACAATTCTGCATCCTTAAAATTGATGTATATGAAGACCGCTAAGGTAATTTGTCATTGCGTCTTTTGTCTGAATCCCCAGACGCCACACTTAAACCGGCAAGGCCTCCGTGACACCTCTCGTGTCCCGAGTTGGGTGTGGGTTCCCGGGGCGGCTCCGCCAGGCTGCTCCGAGCGCGGCGCGGCTCCGATCCCGCTAGGCCATTCACCTGCGAGCCGGACTCGATGGTCCTCCCAGCTCAGAATACCCTGTTACTCCGACACGTAAAATCGCTCAGAAAGAGTTTAAAATTTCTCAGGCGGCTCTCGGCGGCACGGCCCGCCCCCGGAGCGCGAACACCGCCCGCCTCCCTCCACCCGCACGGAACTCCGTCACGGCCGCGGCCGGGCCCGCCCCGGCGGTGAGCAGGCGCTGACGCCATCACCGCGCGCCGCGGGCCCGTGGCTGCATGGCCGTGCCGCGGGAGCCGCT